AGAGTTTCCAAAAGTAGAGATGTTTGGAAAAGACTTCTGGAGGAGGCTGTCGAGCCATCGAAGAAGAAAACAAAATTGAATTATTAAAAAACAGAATCAACATCATCCTGTATAATTACTAAATTGAATAAATTATTAACAAACAGAACCGACATCATCATTATCTACTATAAATCAGAGGTTCAGAGGGGGAGTCAATAGACAAATATCCACTAAATAGGCATAATCAAGAAAAATTGATAACTAAATGTTTATTCAAATATAGCTATATCACGTAGCAAACAAAATTGAATTATTAAAAAACAGAATCAACATCATCCTGTATAATTACTAAATAGAATAAATTATTAACAAACAGAATCGACATCATCATTATCTACTATAAATCAGAGGTTCAGAGGGGGAGTCAATAGACAAATATCCACTAAATAGGCATAATCAAGAAAAATTGATAACTAAATGTTTATTCAAATATAGCTATATCACGTAGCAAAGGCATGGGCAACCGCTGGCCTGTGGCGCACGAAGTTGCTGTTTCTGGCCTGCTACATAAATGCACAAAAATGTATAATATTTTAATAATTTTGAAATTGTTATCAATACAAATATTTCAACTGAGATTAGCACTATTTTAAGAGTTTTTATCATACTTTAATTACCACTTAGTATATCACAAGTAACTCATAACGTATTTCACCGAAACTAATTGAATTCGCCAAAAATGAAGAAGATTAATTATGCTCCCACACATTAACTGAAATTTATATTGATTGAAGGAAAGAGAAGCACTTCTACCATGTTGCTGAGTTGCCAAATGGTGTCTGTTTTTCCAGTCTTGTATTGGAAGCACAATAGCACTTATTTTCTAAACACTGCCAAAGGATCTTGAGCTTTTTTTTTCTACACGTTAAAAATATTAGTAGTTGTATGCCTGCTGTACCATCATTGAACTGAACTGAAGAGTGGTGCAAAATTTTGTATATGAATGCAAAACATTTTTGAGTCATAATGAGACACTGGAAAGCATTCTCTGCGCCATTTCATTGTTGAACTTTTATTGCTTGAATAATAAGATAATGGCCGACGTGGTGATGAAACTGGTAGCTGCATTCAGTGCGACTGGTTATCAAAGAATATCTATTGTTTGTTAATTGTTATCAAATTGATCACACTAAGTTCAGCTAAGGATAAACTTTTATTAAAAATATTTGTAAATATAACTACATTTTTAAAATTATTATTACAATTTTTAATTTAAAATATAATTTGTAACCCCTAAGATGACTGATTTAAAAAAGGAAAACTGATGTGGAATGCTGCATTTTTAACAATAATTGGACATTTAAATATTTAATGGCAAATACAGATGATAAAGCTGTTTGCCTGGTGTGTAATGAAACTACTTCCATTTTTAAAGAATATAATCTAGAAAAGCATTTTTTTTTGCAAACAGTTTCATTAAATATAAACTTTTTCACCGGAACAAATGAAAATCGAAGCAGAAAATTAAAAATCGGTGTTACGAAAACAACAAAATACTTTGAAAAATTTATCACACACATATAGAGTTCTTACAAAAGCTAGTTACACTGTTGCAAAGCAGTGCAAATCCTTTTCTGATAAGGAATTTGTGAAGCAATGTTTGATAGATTTTGTTGAAATATTATGTCCTGATAAGAAACAAACATTAAAAAAAAAAAATTTGTGGTAATTCTCCAAATAATTTGCGTCGTCAATTAAAATTTAAATTGGAAAATTGTTCTTAACATGCACTGGCTTTAGAAGAGTCATGTGTCATTAACAGTACTAATCAACCTTTAATTTTCATTCGAGGTATAAATAAAAAATTTGAAATAACAAAAGAATTACTTTCTATACATCCTATGAAAGACATAACGATTGGTGAAGAATTTTTTTATTGCTGTTCAAAAAGTGTTGCATAAACATAATATAAAAACAAGAGAAAATTGTTAACATCACAACCAATAAATGTCATAGTTTGACAGGGAAAAACATCGGATTGTTAAAAAGAATAAGAATGAAATAAAGAAGGAAAAGAAACAGTCTTCCTCCATTGTATAATTCATCAGGAAACCCTTTGTACAAGAGTTTTAAAACTTAAACATGTAATATCCATTGTAATGAAAGTGGTTAATTTTATATATGGAAAAGTTTTATGCCACTGGCAATTCGTAGCATTTTTAGTAGACACTGATTGTGAGTTTACTGATATTCCTTATCACATGGAAATATGGCGGCTTAGTCTTGCAAAAGCGATTCTCTAAATTGTTAGGTGTAATTATTAACTTTTTAAGTGCTAAGGACAAACTGAATGAATTCTCTGAACTACATGATGAACATTGGCTGAACACCTTTTTCTTCTTTCCCGATTTTCATATCAGAAACAATTAAATCTGTCATTGCAAAGGTAGGCACAATTTGTTTTAGACATGTTTACTAATGTACTATCATTTACCACTAAGCTAAAACTATTTTTGCAACAATTTCAGAATAAACAGTTAACCTGCTTTCATATTTTGCAAGAAAGAGAGAAATACTTGAAGGGTAGTGATTTCAAGAAGTATGAAGCTACAGTAACTTACTTGTACCATGAATTTATAAGAAGATTTGATGATTTTCAAGATCTCCAAAGATTTATCATTAGTAAGCCAACCGTTCAATTTTCACCACCCCTTGCATTCAGTTGTAACTGATAAATTTACTATCAAATCCGATAATTAAAAACCAATTTGCAGGAAAAAGGGTAAAAGAATTTTATGCTTCTTTAATTCTACATGTTTGAATGTTTAAAATGTTTAAAAATATGCTGAAAATAATATTTAACATTTTTCAGATCTATGTACCTATGCGAAGCTACATTTTCTTTAATGAAAAATACAAAAAGCAAAACAAGATCATGAATTACGGATGAAAGTGATGAGCTACTTTACGAATAGCCATGAGTGATTTGAATCCAAATTCAAAGAAATTACGGATCACGAACATATGAATTTTATTTCTGCCTCATTAGTGGTTTTATTTCTCATTTAATTTTTCTTAAAATTCTTTTCCTTTTCTGGTATTTATTTTGTTGTTAACAGAATAAAAATATTTGTTCTAAATTGTGCTTCTTTTATCTTAATCTATCACCTATATCCCATTTCCAGTAGATAGATATTTTATTTTTAGTTTTATATACATTGAGAATTTGGTATACCTATAAATTAATTATTTTTGTTTTTGTTCTCTTTCATTAAATTCTTTAATGTAATCTAGCCTGCACCATGATACGAAAAATTTCATTTGGCCTGATGATGAAGAAAGTTGCCCACCCGTCACGAAGAAATCGTATAAAAATAAGGGAAAAATACACAATACTTATTTAACATATTTAAAAAAATCAAAAATATATAAATTTTTTATACAATATACCCAGTCTAAAAAAATAAAACACAAGAGCACGAGAAAGCATGGTATATTGTTTTAAAGCAGCCATTTGTAAAATTTCAACGAACATTTTAATGTTGGCTCGACACTGAAAATTTGAATGTGCCAAAATGGTTCACAAAACTATTGAACTGCGATATATTTGAAATTGATATTATTATGTAAGAAGAGCTCATTGGATTGAAGAACAATGTTTAAACACAAGTCTTACTCATGGATATGCCCCATTTTTGAAAGAAGCATCCTAAAATAAGTTACTGAACCAGCAATATAGACTTTTTCCTCATCTTATCTAGTGGAACCAGGCATAAATGATGGCAGTAATTTGCTATGGAAAACAAGAAATAACTTGCATATTTTTAATAGGGTTATTAAAGAATTAAACAATTTTCCCCAAATATTAAAAGAAAACTGCATCACCACATCAAGCGTAACCATCATGTTTATTAAAATTGAAATTTTGAACCATGAGAATCTGTGATTTTATTACCATAAGTCATCGATGTGCAATTATTTGTATCATGACCAATCATGTTGCATGCTATATATTATAGAGAAAAATGCAAAAGGTAAATGAATAAGACTTCTACTACTCTTTTTACAGAATATTTTTTTAGGGAAAGTTATTTAATTTGTATTTTATTGCAGAAATAATAAAATGTTTAGTTTTGAATCAGTTAATATTAGATTATTAATGAATCAATTACTATTGATAAATTTACGCCTTCAGCAGCCCCATCAGTACATTGCCATTCATTTCTTCAGGCTTTTTTCTACTGTTGTGCAAACAAATTTTGTACTCCTCTCCTGTACTATTTAAAGACAACTGGAGGTGACTGGATCCTGTTCAGAAACACTTCTATTAGGCAGGAGAAGTTTACACTTGATTTGTCATAAATTGAACTATCTCAGATTGGGCTGGAGAACTGGACTACAAATCCAACTCTCAGCCTCAACCCAGTTATCCAAAATTCCACTTAGTAGCTCATTAAAATCACTTAATATTCTGCAGATCCAGGCCTCAATCTGAATCTCATAGCCTCAGACTTTATACTACTCCAACCCCCCTGACGTTCTGGGTCCGAGGGGACATTACTTCCTGTTATCAGCATTTCATGAGGGATGTAACATGAATGCCTAAAGATCTAACTGGCCATCAAATTGCACTTGCCAGTACTATGCAGGCTGTCTGTAACATCAGGACATTACCTAGCAAACTCAGTGCCATCTAACACCGAGCTACAGAACCACCAGTTCTAGGTCTTGCACCAATCTCCCGAGGCCAGACTGTATAGATGATCCAAACCTGAGTTCCGGAATGACTTGTATATCCCCATGGTTGAGACTACCTAGGTTACAGGCCCTAGTCAGTAGCTTCACAAAATTATCTGCATCAATATGGGAGGTGGGGGGGGCTGATGTGAAAGACAGGTCTCTTCTTAAAGAGGCCAAATGTTCAAACAGTTAAATAATTCTTAGCGCACCGGCTTTAACATACACAGAAGAAATAATAAATGAATACTATTCATTCAATCAATAATAAATGAATTTACCTCCAATAGCATCAATTTCATCAAAGAAAATCAGGCATGCCTTTTTATTTCGAGCCATTTCGAAAAGCTCACGAACCATACGGGCACCCTAGAAAGATATGTTTTGCAAAATTTTAATATTATGTGAAAATGCCCAATTAAGTACAGTAGTTTTATTAAATAAGAAAGGATACATTATAATACAGAATTTGCTTAGGACAGCAATAAAACACAACTTACATAAAATGAAATTTACTGACACAAACATTAAACAAAACAAAACAAAAAAATTAAACAAATTTTTAACTCAAACAATTTTTTTAATATAAAATTTTACCTTGTAAGCAGTATTACTACTATTATTTTTTATATTGACAATTATATTGGGTCAGTCCATAAATTCATGTGCATTTTTCGGTAAATTTTTAAATAATATAAAAAACACAATTTAACATTTTAATCAATCATATATTTTCCTCCATTATCTACAATGTCTCGCCATCTTACAGGCAGCTTTTTTATGCAATTGCTGTAGAAAGACTGGTTTTGATGGGGGGGGGGTAAATACCTGAAAGTTCATCCCAGTAAAAAATTTTGTAAAGCACGAAATAAGTGAAAATCAGCTGCAAAAGCGCATGATGGTTTGGTAAAACCATCGAAACTAGTCCTGTGAAAATTTGAAAATATAACGCTGATTTTTGTTGTTTGACTTCTGAATTAGTAACTAGATAATTTGCATAATAATAACTGTACATATCTTTGAAGAATAATTTTCTTTCTCTTTATGTATTTGGTTTCTTTCTTCCATGTTTCCTTTTCATTTTAGAAGTTTTGGATTTAATTAAAGATTTCTGTTATTCTAAAAAAAAACTAAATGCATTTAGAATGTGTCTACAGAAAAGTAGAGAAAATAAAGGGAAAATAAAAATGTTAAGATAACAATTCTAGTATCAGAAGTAAAACATTTAAATATTATGTTTTCATTGTTTTTCCAGATGTTCTCCAAAAAGTAAGAAATTACGTGTTAATACCATTGAGACATTTTTCTGGAATCTTTTAGAATCGTGGGTCTATAAGTTTTGCTTTCAAACTTTTTAAACTTTGCAAGCTACAATGTCTAAAATCCTAAAGAAAAATTACCCCTACCAATTCTGTGACAGCAAAAAACTAGAAATATTTTGGGGAAAAAAAATAAAAAATAAAAATAGGTGGAAAAAAAGTGTAAAATTAATTTTGTAGAGAAAACTGATGCATATTCTGAGATAATTACATGGGAAAACTCTTACCATGAAAATATTAAAAATACATTTTTAATTAATTACATAGCTATTTTGCTATTACTAAGAACTGTTTTCTTAAATTGTGCTTTATAGTATTATACCTTGCTTATTTTTCAGATTCAAAATATTGTATAATAAGCGGTCAAAATGAAACTTTATAAGATGACAGCGAAAAATACAAATTCTTTATTTTAATGTTATTTCTTAAATATAATTATAATACATTACCATTATTTTAATGAAATTTATCAATGTTACAATGTTCTAAAAAAATCGTCGAAAAATTCCAAGATCTCGGAATTAAAAATTTTCTATAGAATCGCCAAAATGTTGATAAGTTCCGAAATTTAGAACCGTTTAATAAAAGAATTCTCATCCCCCAAAAGCGAAAAGTTGTTTAAGACCTGTTCATTAGAAAAATGAAATAATTTCGTAATGCTTATGTTTCACTTCTTGCTCAGAAACTCTATCCCACCATTTATTTATATTTGAAATAAGAAGAAATTATAACTCATTCAAAAGATAACCATACTTGTCGGCGAATCACCAAAAATATTCCTCCAAAATGCTAATTCACACTCAAAATGACAAACAGAAATGAAAGATGATTAAAATTAAGGACATTTTGCCAATTTTGGCCAAAATTAAAGACTTTTAAAGAACCAAAAATCGATTAAAAAAAACTTAAGGTCTTTTAAGGACCGTACGAACCCAGTGTTTACTTACTTCTCCTTTACTTCTAATTTTCATTTTAAATTACCAACTGGTCAGAAGAAACATTTGAAACCTTACAAAACTGCAGTTATTCAAATTTACTCATATGAAATTAAGTATAATCAAAGACAAACTGCTGAAACTTTTACAATAATTTAAAAATAAATAATAAGTCAAAAATCTGTAAGCTCTATTGATAAACTTTGTAAAGAACGTGGACTGACTGAAAGTTGGAAAAGAAAATACAGCAGAAAAAAAGTATTTCAGTTTAAATGCAGTTAATCAAAAAGTACAAAAGTAACACCCTCCTAAAAATTGGGCTTTTAAAACTGAAATTTTGCATGTTCATATCTCCACATAAATATGTATGATACATATTTATAGATATCAGAATTGTACCATGTAACCTTTCTGTAGCAATGACCACTGTATGCACTTAGGCAAAACCTGGCAACATTTAAAATTAAATTGGTAAAAATTAGAAAAAAATATTGCAGCTACTTCCAATCCTCCTTATAGTCTTTCATACTGCAATAAAAATTTCATTTAAAGGCAATTTTTTCACTTCAGCTTATTATGCAAAATTCTGTGCTTTTCAAGAAAAAAAAACACCACTTCTTTTCCAGTTGATGGTATGCTAACTATTCTAGAGGGGAAAAATACGGAATAGTACAAAACTAATTATCAGTATCCTCAAGAAACTATTGTTCATTTTCAATTTGATGGACAGTTAAAAATGATCAACATCTAAGGGTGAAAATAAGGCAGAAATGTGTTGCATGTTATCAGTATCACAAAAAATCTGATGCATAAAATGATCTCATTTATAAAACCTAAAATAATCTTCATTAAAAATTTAAAAATATAGAAAATATAATACACTAAATACAGATATAACAATTTTTACAACTAAAATTAGAGTTTCCATGCAAAAACAAGTAATTTGGCCAGCAGGCAAAAGCCAGTTTTTTTTTGGGTGCACAAAAACTAAAAGTTTCCTTTTGGTCCCACTCAGCAAAAAGAGATTGAAAACTTCTGCAGGAAATAACTTAATTCACTATACTCCTAAGTTTTAAGTGCAAACAAATATGGCTGCTATGGGAAGGGAAAAAAAAAGCTTAGCCGCACTTAAACAACTTTTAAATTGTTCATAATTCTATAACTATTGCATGCAGATTAACTAAAGGCATAAAAAGCTTAACGATAAGATAAGAACAACATAATTCTTAAATATAATTTAAAGCAAAAATGCTCAATTTTACCAACATCTAATAAGAAAAAAAAAAAAAAAAAAAAAAAAAAAAAAAAATTCTGAGCTCAAAAAAAAAAAAAAAATATATATATATATATAAATCTGAGTAACAGAGTTCTATATTTTTCAACATATATATATATATATATATATATATATATATATAAATTGAAAAATACTGGAAATATAAAACACCAAATACAGTTAAAACATGAATTGTTTTTCACATGAGTACTATACATACAGTCAAAAGTCATTAATTCGGACCTCAAAGCTACAAACTTTCTGCACATGCGTCGCTTTTACGCATGCGCATAGGCGTTTACACATGCGCGTAAGACCTTTACGGCTGTAAATATATGTGTGCGCATGCGCGTTTAATGTATAACGGATGGTAAAAGGTAAGCAAAAATTATCTAATTCAGTTAATGTTGCAGATTGCGTTGTTCCTTAATCTTCGAATTGGATCCCGCTTATTATTTTTTGCAGATTATTAGAGCAATTTTATAAAAGTAAGCTTGAACTTTCGATTATGTCAAATAGAATTTCCGATATATATTTACTAATATGTAAAGGATTTACAAAGCGAAAGTATGTTTCGAAATCCAAAATCTGTTTATCAATTTCACGCTGCTCTGCGGCGGGAGGAGACGCCGCGACATGACGCGTAATGAATTGGAAGTTGATTTGTCAGCACTATCCTTATCTTCACGGCAGATGTTTTTATTTTTGATATGATTTAAAGCAATTATAGGATTTGAACAGTGGAACTTTGTAACTAAACAAGAAATTATGTCTGTTTAATAGAATAAAAGAGAAAGTATTATCACATGAAAGGAAGCAACTTAAATAACTTACACTGAAAGAAATGTTTAATAAAGTAAACAAATAAATACTAAGCTTTTTTTTTGTAAATTTTGATACCCTTTAGATCATAATTGTTCTTTATTTCATAAATTACGGTTTCATATTTTTAATTTTGTAATTTCTGCATGTCATCTTACCAGATTTAAACTGATGATCTATAATCCGGAATTGCCGAAGTACCGACGAGTCCAGATTAACGACTTTTGACTGTATATATATATATATATATAAATTGAAAAATAAAACACCAAATACAATTAAAACATGTAAAAAAAATTTTACAATTAAAATTAGAGTTTCCAAGCAAAAACAAGTAATTTGGCCACCAGGAAAGAAAGATTTTTTTGGTGCACAAAAACTCAAAGTTTCCTTTTGGTCCCACTCAGCAAAAAGACACTGAAGACTTCTGCAGAAACTGATTTAATATTGATATATATATATGTGTGTGTAAGATAAAATACAATAGCTGCTTTAAAAATAATTGGCGATGTCAAAATTAACATTCTAGATTTGGTGCTCTGCCCCTAAATTCATCTGTTCTACCAAAATTGAGAATCTTCTATGTTATGTAACAATGTCAAATTAACCAATTAGCTCTATTTATACCTCAGACTTGGTACAAAAACTACGTCATTCCTTTACTAGCTGAGCCGCTGCTAATACATTCCCATCATTTTGCTTCTTAACTGACTATGTCATTTCCTTTTAAAAAGCCAATGTACATAGAAATTTATCATACCTAATTATGACTGAATACGTGTCTGTAAAATTGATTGGATATATGTGAAAATAAAGACTTGTGATTATCGAAATACAAGTCGTTATCTTAATTTGTATGCTTTAACCAAATGCCACGACTGTTACCGAACGTAGTTACGAGGTTCAGTGTTCAACTGCGCATTCACAATCCTGACATACATATATATATTCATATAACTCTGGTGTGGCTGATTGTAACCCAAAAGGGAAAATGAATTATGCCATGAAAAAATCTCTTCTGAATTGATTTAAAATCAGTTTTATAATACATTTTTTGGGAAAAACTCCTTTATTCTATCCTTATGTACAGATATCATGCAAAAACATTATTAAATTGCATGAAAGCGGTCAAAATGGATATTTTCATTGAAATATGATACTCAGAATTTTTCATGATTACAATACTTTCTTTACATCATACAAAGAAGTAAAAAGTTCTTTGCCAATCAGGGTTCGTACACATTTCCTTACATGAAAATTAAGGACTTTTAAGGACCATCAAAGAAAAAATTAAGGACCTATCAGCAAACAAAAAAATGAATAGAATAAAGCAATTATCCATAAAAACCGACTTCATGCTTGTAATTTCACTTCACAGAACTAACAGAAACTAACTGTAACTTTCACAGAAACTAACAGAAGTGTGTATTATGCACTATTATTAAATTCAATTTAATACTTACCATAAAACAATTTTGAAAATTAAACTAACTCCCTACAAGTTATGAAGTAGATAACATTAAATTAGGAACATAATTTCTTGAAAAACATGTATAAGTGTATTTTACACTAATAACAGTCACTATTTTAGAGATTTACATGATTATTATTTAACTTATTTGATATTTATTTAAACACAGTCAACTACTATTATAATCACAATGTAAGAATATTTTGCAGATTAAAATAACTGATTTGTAAACATACAATTTATTTCCTTGGTTTTTTGAAAGATACTAGAATAATAAACTGTACAATAAAAGATACAAAACATTTGTGCTTTTTTTAAATCTGAAATCTTTTCAGCTATTTTAACATCTAATTTATTTATGTCTATTTCCTTTTCTTTAACTATTCTTCTAAGTTCATTTGCTTTGATAAACAAATCAATGTTCCTGCTGGTCTCAGCTTCATCTGCTAAAGCATCTACTTCTTCATTAATATCTTTAATGTCCCTTTGAAGAAAATTTTTCTTCTGCTTCATATAATCAATTTCTTCCTCAATAATATTTCTTTTCCTCTTTGAATTTTCAGATTTAGTTAAAGATTTTTGTTCTTCTAAATACTGAACTTCTAAATAACGAACTCCACTTCTTGCAGAAGCTGCTGCTGATCTCATTTCTTTATTAATTTCGATATTAAGAACACCTCCAGAAAATTTTATGTAATCAAATACTGTGCGTTGAAAAATGTATGATGAGTCACTTAAATTTTCAATTTCAATTGCTTTATTTACAGAGAAGCCCCTTTCCACAGAGGCCTGTTCATGTGACAAGATAAGAATACTTGTCACAGTGAATACTTGAATAGTGAAAATATACATTTTTTACTATATATATATAATTTATTTCCTAAACAATATAGATTAATTGATTATATTATCTCCTAAGTTTAATTAAAGTAGAATTATTTTAAAAGAGTGAATCCATACTGTAAGTAAGTTATATATTTTGAAAGATGTATATATATATATATATATATATATATATATACAGTACAAAGTCCGAGATCCGGACATCCAATATCTGGAATGATCTAAAATCCGGACCTCAAAGCCACCACCAACCAATTTTTTAGGGCTTTTTTGAAGGGAAGGGGTATGCTTTACGCATGCGCATTAGATTTTTTTCCCTCATCATAAAAAAAAAAACATGCCGGAAATCCCGATTCTTAATCTCAGTTTGGCGCTAAATAAAATATCTCATTATTGAAGAAATAATTATTTTAGCATAAATTTGTGTGATTAGTAACTTGACTCCATAGCTGCGTATCTGCTTGGCATAATCTCAAACCGAAACATTTGTTAATTTTACACCAACTAATATTTTATATCCTTGATGCCGAAATCGCGAATCATTATTTATTGTATTTTGCTTTCATCACCGCATGTTTATCAACGGATGACAACTTGAGTGATGAATCATGCAGCGATGCCAAATAACAGAGTATTATACGATTACAGATTTAAAGTTTAATGCGCTAAAATGTTGACAAGGGGAGATTTAGCAGAAATTTCTTTCCTTATGCTAAAAATAGATTTTGTTAATGATACTCATAGGACAAACGATTATATTTAGTGCTATTTGAATTAAGAATAACTGATTTGTTATTCACATAAAGCCAGAACCAGCGCTCCAGAGCTCGCATGGCCGCACCAGGCGGCAGAATTTAGCGAAGTTAAACAGAAGTTTTTCATTGCAATGACAATGCCCAATCATCAATCAATTAACGGAGGGCGGAAATCTGTAGTATGGTTCTAAATCCAGAAAATACAGCTACCGATAGTGAAGAAAGTAACAGAGAGGTTACTGAACGAGAAAAAATTTTGATTGACAAGTTATTCGGAATTCTCGACACAGCAATTACAGGACTTGAACAATGGAACTTAATAACTGAACAAGAAATTATATGTCTATAGTATTAGTCTAAAGTATTAGCAGAGAAAACAAATCAAACAACTCACATTGAAAGAAATGTTTAATAAAGTAAACATATAAATATTAAGCTCTTTTCTTTTGTAAATTTTGATACCCTTTAAATCATAAATGCTTCATTATTTCATAAATCACGATTTCATATTTTCAATTTTATAATTTCTACGTGCCATCTTAGTAGATTTAAAATGATCTAATATCCGGAAAAATCTCAAATCTGGGATCGCCGAAGTCCCAGACCTCGGACTTTGTACACTGATATATATATATATATATATAATACGGAATGTATATTTTCAGTTAAACTTCTACCCAATAACTTTAGTAATTCATGAAAGTTAATTTTGCGTCTAGTTAATTCAGGAAAATTAGTTTCAATTAGTTGTTTTCAGCTTTAAAAATATTTAAAAAATTTTTTAATTAGTTAGTTATTTTCAACTAATAATTGTATCGCCATTAGCAAAAATTATGCATTACTATCAAAAACATAGGTTTAAACCAAATACTTAATTGTCTATTGATGCTTCAAAACGTATTTCCGAACTTCACTTTTTCTCGGCTAGCGTTACCGAATTTTGCCCTTGGCGACCTAAAATCGAAATGGAGCCAACAGATTTCCCGCGAAATCGATAACAGACCCTCTGCAGAAATAAACTCATAATCCCGATATCCCATACATATAGTATGTGCAAAAGAGAATAAACTCCGTAGAAGGTGATAAAAAATTAATTTATGGCTTAATTGAAACAAACACAGAAATTAAGCTAAGCAAAACCGTGTAAAAACAAATTGAAATGATAAAACGAAACTTAATTTTAATGTGAATTTTCAGCGCTGACTCTCCCATTCTAGAAATTTCAATTTGTTTCAGACAAAGACCACATTTAAGGATTGCCATCCATCAATATCCAGTCTTTGTAGTCAGCTTGATGAAGCCACAGTTTATTGAAAATGCACTTTCCAGGCATCTCGTTCCTATTGGCGTCGGAAGGGTTGTGGCCTTCCAGGTTGGGAATTGCTCTAATTTTGGCAAATATTTTCAGAATCTCCCCCCCCCTTTTTTTTTCTCGAGCACCTTCATCATCACTTTCGCCTCTTAAAGAACTTCCAGCTTCACGCTTTCGTCACAATCTGCCTAAATTTATGGATAACACCTGTTTCGAAAGATTGGGTGAATAGCCAATCAGACACCGATACTTTCGTTCGGGTAGCTAATTGTTTTTTTTTTTTTAATCGTTTGCAACGCAAATCCGCCAATAGATTGGTTAAGAGCCGTGTAATTTTAATTCCATATTCGTGAGAAATCGTAATTCACACTTAGAATGGCAATCATTAGAAATGATAAGAAATGTCAAATGAGCAAAATTAAGGACTGTTTATTCATTTTGGCCAAAATTAAGAACCAAAAATCATTTTTGAAAAAATTAAGGACTTTTAAGGACCATACAAACCCTGCCAATTCATTACAAATTAAAAACATAAAATATTTTAAAGGAAAAAGAATATAGTCAAAACAGTCTGAAAATTAAGCATGCTACTTATTCTGGTGACTAAGTTTGCCAATTCTGACTCCTACAGTTACTTGATGGATTTCAGTGACTGATCAAGGTGGTGGCTTTAACAACAAACCACCCTTTCTGCTAATACACGAAGAGAACCATGTTTTTAAGATTATAACAGAAATGCTTAAAAAACAAAATGTATAAAATTTTACTTACTTCACCGACATATTTTTGAACCAACTCGGAACCAATGACCCTAATGAAACAGGCGTCTGTTCGGTTGGCCACAGCTCTGGCACACAACGTCTTTCCTGTTCCTGGAGGTCCAAAAAGTAAAACACCTTTGGGTGGTTCGATGCCCAAATTGACAAATTTTTCAGGCTGAAAGAATAACAGGATATATGATACACAATTTGAAATTTAGAAAATACAGAAAAATTTCATTCACCTGAATTCCAGTAAAACAGTTAAAAAGAAAGTTTTACATGTAAAAGGGGAGTTTCAACCACTTCTCTCAGTTTCTCAATTTGTTCTTTACATCCACCCACATCACTGTAAGTAACATCTGGCTTCTCTTCCACTTGCATCATGGTAACTGTTGGATCAATCTTGGGTGGAAGAGGGATGTGAATCTGATACTTGTTGCGGTCAACACTACAGAATAAATCATAAATGTAAAAATTTAAAGTAACTAGAAGAAAATATTACAAGGATTGTTTGGTAAGTGGACTGTACCTGAGGTTTTAGCATACATATAAACATGAAACAACTAACTGCTTATTGATATACTGTCTACTCTGCACATCACTGTATATATGTATGTACACTGCGCTAAAAAAGGGGGGGGACAGTTCTATATCTCTCATTCTACTGGGCCGATTGACAAAATTCAAATTGTATTTTTCATGTTTCGAAAGTGCGACTTATATATATTAGATTTATGTCCAGCATCATTCTAACATAGGTATTTTTAAACAAAATCGAACTTTTTCTAAACTAACATAACAATATTTCTATTCTATGACTCAAATTATGCCTAGATATTAAATTTTGTAAAATTTGGTGTGAAATTTATGGAGAAATTCAAAAATTTATCTTGGCACAAACTTCTTAATATATGGTCACTTATTTTCCTTTCCCCTTTTTACATCGAGTGGAAAAAAAGTCACATCATTCCTACCTTCAAATAATTTTAGCAAAGTGTCTAAGTCCCATTTGATGCTTTACCACTTTCAACAAATATGCCAAATTTCAAAACGCACCAATATATAAATTCACGTATACCTTTGGAGATTTTGAACAAAAAATTGTAATTTTTTGCACGTATGCTTAGAAATATGTCTACGTTAAGATGATGGTAACATTTTTATAGATTATAATTCAAAATTTATTTTAAAATACAAATTTTAAAATAAATCATAAAAAATGGGTGAATTTTATTTGGAATGAACCTGAATTTTGAAATGTGAAAGGAAGAATCAAATAAGTTTAATAAATATATACCAAACTCAATTAACATTGAGGAGCTAAAATTCTGAGAGCTAATTTTTAAAAAACTTGGTAATTTGAGTTGCATTGAAATACGGACAAAAATTAGTACGTTATTTCAGAAAAAGTCCTATTTTGTGTAAAAATACTTATATTAGAATAATACTATATATAAATCTACTACATATTCTAAGTCGCGCTTTCGAGACATGAAAAACGCACGTTGAATTTTGTTAATCAGCCCAGTAGAATGGGAGATATAGAACCGTCCAATTTTTTTTTTTTTTTTGGCACAGTGTTAATTAGTTATCTGGATATTTACGCATTACCCTGTTGATCATGAAAGTTGGCGGACATCTTATCAAAGTTGTGGCAATCATTCCTGTAGAATTCTGAACGAATTGATGTCTCTTTATTTAATAAACAATTGGTATTGGACCTGGTTCGTTTTTGCACTCCATAAAAAGGTTTCATCAATTTCTACCACTTTGTTAGGCTCTCCAGTTTTACCAGAAGGTCTTCTCAAAACACTGTGAGTACAAATTTCCAGTAGGTAATTGTTCCAATCTATTACTGTTTTGATGGCTATATTCAGCTCAGCATATTATGTCCTTTAATACACTTTAACACACATCCAAAAACTGCTTGCTCTTTTGTACAAGAAAGGTCCCAAATTTTAATAACTTTTTTTTTTAAATGCAAGGATAAAAATACAGGAATAACAGTTAACTTGGATTCATGTCGATAAAAACAAAATATTTATTATGTTCTTTAATACACAATTTTTTTTGGGGGTAAGATGTGAAAACTTTGAAAATAATCTGCTGCTTGCTGTTTTGTACAAGAAAGGTCCCAAATTTTAATAATTTTTTTAAATGCAAGGAGAAAAATAGAGGAATAACCCCTGCTGAGAGAATTTTCGCCTGCTTGTTTTTAAGCAGTAAAATTAGTAGGAAAAGGGAACAAACATGCAAGTATAGTAGATATGTGTATGTATAAACAGGGTTCGCACACATTTCTGCGCATGGAAATTAAGTACTTTTAAGAATCATTGAATGAAAAAAATTAAGGACCTATGAGCAAATGGGAACTGAATAAATTCAATTAAAAATATTATCTATGCCTGAATTGTAATACCATCCAAAAAATAAAATAGATCCATAAGTAGGATACATTATTATTAAACATAGCTTAATTAACATAATTATTAATAAGTTTGAGAATAAAATCTACTTTATGAATTTTATCACACAGCATTAAATATTTTGCACTTATAATAGTTGGGCATATTTGAAAGAAGATAAGTGAAATTTTGTGTACGTTTTACTTACAGTTAATTTTTTTATGTCTCATTTTGTCACATACTTGCTTAGTCTAGAGGTTTAATAAATAACAGATAGATTTTTATGTCAAGCAGAATAGGTTAAAATGAGAAGTAAAATCATAATCAGTATGACTGATAACAAAAGACTGGCTGTTGTCACCGCTGCTTACCTAGACAGAGACCTGCTGATCAGAACAAACCTGAAAGGCCTGATGTAGGCATGGTTGGCAAGCTTTGAAAGTTAGTTGGGCTCTGTCTGATGCAGTTAGCGTCGTAGCTTCATGTAGAGTTCCAGGGGTTGAAACCCAGTTAATGTACTTTAAGGTTCCAATAAGCCACTAAAGCACCAGAGGTGTTGTTTTGTATTATTTTAGGTCTTGCTACATGCGGAAAATAAGTTTTACATGAATTTTTACATTTTTGTGTTTTATCTTGTGACCACGGTAAGGATTAATGAAAGGCAATAACTTGCTTTAATATGCAGAGATAATTTTTAAGGGTAAGCAATTAGTTATAAATTATTAAATTAGGTAGTTAGATAACCTCAGTTATTATGGATTTACATGGCCACTATTAAATTTTATTTATTTTTTAACAATACTTAAAAAAGCCTTATTAAAATCACAATCATCAATCTAATAAAATTTCACAGTTTAAAATACATGCAATTTATGACAGTCATTCTTAAATGATATCAGGATAATTACACATTACAAAACATTTATATTTTGTAGCAACAACACTCAAATATTTATGCATCTTTTTAATTTGAAGCCTGCCCAGACATGTCTAATTTATATCGATTTTTTTCTCTTTAAGCATCTTTTCTAACAATTAGAAATTTCTCTCAATATGCAAAATAATGTTCTCACTAGTTTCTGCATGCTTTATCTTCTAACTTGTCAACCTCTCCACAATGTACCTATGAGGGTTTACTTGATCTGGTAAAAGTTAAATACTTCCAAACCCCTCGACAGATGTGAAGCAAATTATCGCTATGTCTGAAAGCAACTACAAAGATTTAAATAAGCCTCTCATTTAAAAAGAACTTAAAACATATAGGCGTGTTCTTATGCTAACAAAATCAATTGCAGCTGGTGGTGATGTAATTAAACAAGAACATTCAAATTCAAACTAAAAATGTGGGCTAGTGGTAAAAGACTATATAATTTAATTTAAGCTGGCTCAATAACTCTATCGTCATAACAAATTAAAATGTTGGCAGCAATAATGCAAAGACAAAAAATTACAAATTATCAGAGATGGCAGGAACTAATGCAGCGAACAAGCGGAGTTCAGAAACACATTCTGTCTTGCACTCCCAAAAACTTCAATTTAAAATCTCTCTAAGTGAGATATGTATCTCAGATAGATAATCTGAGTATATGACAGTCCAAGATGCTTAACATAATTTAAGATTGTAAATTTCTTCATTCATAAGTGTAAGCAATTCATTATTCTCCGCTTGTTCTAAAATATACCTGAAGTTTATTTGACATACAATACCTTAAAAGTCGAAATTATTCCTTGATCTAACGGCTGTAATAAGGAAACTGTATTCTTTGGTAAAAAATCAACTTCTACGTTTTCATTTTGTATATTATGAGGATGATCAGGTGCAATATCAATTAATAGTTTAAAAAGTAAAAAATTAATAGTTTGCCTTAAAAAGCAATCCCTTTTCACTTAAATAATTTTTGACATCTGGGATAAACACGTTATAAAACCATTCATTGAAAGCTATGGCTGTGACCCATGCTTTCTTATTAGCCATCTAATAAATAGGAAGGTTATTTAAGTTCATTCTTTTAAATGAGCGTGGTGTTTTTGATTTGTTACTAACCAATAGATTCATTATATAATCACCTGAAGCGTTGCAAATGAAAAGAATTGTCATATGACTTTTCGCTACCTTATGACCACTAACTGATTTGCAAGCTTTAGCTAAATAGGTTCTTTCAGGTATTTTTTCCAGCTCGTCAGCATTGAAGATCTGATCAGAAGTATAGGAGTTGGCAGCAATGATTCTAACAAATTTTGCTGGATATTGTTGTGCTGCATTCAAATCAGCATATGCACTTTCTCCTTTCAATCTTAGATTATACAGAATGTCTTTCTTTAAATCTCTTAAACCAACCATGATTTACGGAAAAAGATACCTTTTCTCATCTGATTCTTAAGTTCTTTATAAATCTTTAAAGCCTTATTTGTAACAGCATTAGTATCAATGGGAATCTGCTTTTGATTTTGGTCTTTTTTCCACATCACTAATGCCTTTTCCATATTTTCCACTGTATCATCTGTTACACTTTTTCTAATAGAAACTTCATTTTTTTTAAAAATTTTTCTTATTGTGGCTTCATTCACGAAGTAAAATTTAGCAACATCCGTTACTCTTTCTCTGTTGCTTAGACCAGGGATGGGCAAACTCCGGCCCGCAGATAGAATTTTAATTTGTCGGTTCGAGGCAAATTAACAAAAGTGTATATTTATATATTACTTATCTATCTCCTTTTCCACTTTGTTTAAGCATTTTTTTCTTCCTTTTTTTCAAAGGACTGATGATCTTTTTACTTTCTCTACAGAGGCTGTTCGCACATTTTTTAGACGATTTTGGTAAGCGGTAATAAAAAATAATTTGCTGCAAAAGAAGTAATTGCAATTGTACTATGTTTTAAAAGTCAAAATTATCGTCTGTAGCTTGAAAGTTCTGTTTTTATTCAAAATGGGGAATTTAACAAAGCAGTGGTTTGAAGGCTACATTTACGCTCTTTCCGAAGAGAAATATGCATACTCCGTCATCCAAAAACGATGCGAGAGTCATGGTTTTGTGATACCTAAA